CCGCTGGCCTGATCACCTCTAACCGCCACTGCCTGCCAGTCTGGTCGCCCCCAACTGCCACCCCTCCCCCCTCTGCTGGCCTGGTCGCCCCTCACTGTCTCACCTGCTGGCCTGGTCACCCCCAATTGCCACCCCCCTGCTGGCCTGGTCGCCCCACACAGCAGCGGTTGCTAAATGGTGGTCCGTGGACCACTGGTGGCCTGTGAGGTCGAAAGGTTGGCGACCACTGGTTTAAGGAAACCTTTGGAGCAGCAGTCGCCAACTGCTGGTCTGTGGACCACTGGTGATCCATGAGGTTGAAAGGTTGGCGACCGCTGGCCTAGAGCTCAAGATATGAGTAGGAGCACTATATTTATCTGTAAGTAACTATATTTATTTGAGATCAGCAGAAACATCTCAATAATCTCTAATCAATGTCCCCTTTTCAGTGGTTTCTTTCAGAATTGGTTTACCTTTGTTGTTGTTAATTCTCACACGAGGATATTTTTCTGTTGATTCTTAGAGAGAGTGGAAGGGAGGAGGAGAGACACAGAGAGAGAAACATGGATGTGAGAGAGACACATTGATTGCTTGCCTCCTGCACGTGATCCGACTGGATGGGGGATCCAGCCTGCCACCTAGGTATGTGCCCTTAACCAGAATCGAACTCAGGAGCCTTCAGTCTGTGCGCCAACACTCTATCCACTGAGCCAAACCAGCTAGGGCCAGAATCGGTTTAACTTTGTTATAGGAAAGCTTTGTCCATTATGAGCCCTTCACCAATTATCCTATCAGATAATAAAAATGTTTTCAGATATTAGAATTCTTGGTACTTTGTTGTCCTTTAGGACTTAACCTAAAACTCTGTCTTGGAAGAATTCTTAATTTTTTCAAAGCCCCACATAACGTGAATGAAATAATATTATTGTTGAGGTCAATGTACATTTTTAAACAGTTTAACGGGGGTAATAAATTAAAAAGCCTTCAGATTTTGTCTTTCCTACTTAGCGTCTCCTGAAACCCCACTGAACAATTTCTTTCCTAAGTTCGCCCCTGACCTGGCCAGGATCCACGTTTCCAGTCACCACATGACGGGGAAACCTTTTCATACTAACTGGGTCACAAGGTGAGGTCTCCTCACAGCAGAGGGCAGCTTGCGCCATCTGCTGGGGACAGTGATAGACCTATTCCTTCACGAAGTAATTGGCCCGAGTCGTTAATTTACTGCCTCATCAGCTTCAGTATTTCTGAGGGACAATTACATACCTTGAGACACTCTGTCTTTTATTATTATTTATTTATTTATTTTAAAATATATTTTATTGATTTTTTACAGAGAAGAAGGGAGAGGGATAGAGAGTTAGAAACAGCGATGAGAGAGAAACTTCGATCAGCTGCCTCCTGCACACCTCCTACTGGGGATGTGCCCACAACAAAGGTACATGCCCTTGACCGGAATGGAACCTGGGGCCCTTCAGTCCGCAGGCCGGTGCTCTATCCACTGAGCCAAACCGGTTAGGGCGACACTCTGTCTTTGGGATTATGTTTCAGATAAAAGCAAAGTATAATTTATCCTGGAGATAAAAATAAGTTTAACTCAAAATATGCAGTTATCCCAGCCATTGCCTGTTCTGAACCCCAAAGGATGTCCTAAGGAGGGGCTGAGATAATAGGTATAGCTGGAAAACAGCTAATTTCTTCAGAGCAAGCATAGAGGTGTATTCAAGTGTTTCCACCAAACCATCTTCTTTCCTTCCTCCCACTTTCTCCTTCCTTCTTCTCTTCCCCTCTTTCTCTCTCCCTCCCTCCCTCTCTCTCCCTCCTCTTCCTCCTTCTTCTTCTCCTTCCCTCTCTCCCTCCCTCCCTCCTGCCCTCCCTCTCTCCCTCCCTCTCCTTTCCCTTTTCCCCCCTCCCCTTAATTAAAAAAAATGATTTGAGACTCTGCTATGCATCCAGAGCAAACACCATGAGTTAAATAGTTCTATGTATAGTCTCCTATTGGCAAACTTCCCAGGCTTCAAAATCATGACAAGACTATGCTATGCACTGAGGAAACACAACTGGCAAGTAACTCGGTGACCTAGGGTCTTGGTGCTGGGCTCAGGAAACCCTGTTATTAGCCATGCTGTTAGCCCTCCGCTCCCTAAAGAGACACACAGGGCCAATCAAGGACCTGGCTTGGAGGTTCACAACCTGGCCCTGATGACTTGTTAACAATACCAACTATTTATCTGACCACTATTTAGCCTGCAGAAATACTGAGCCCCTGAACTCTATACTCTCAGCTGGATTCCTGCTGCCCCCTCACCCCAGCCCTTTGCGCCACATCTGCACTCTTCCCTGTCCCCACCCCTCTCCTGAGAGCACCCTTCCTGTGTGGGGGTCTGGATGGCTGGCCTTCTCAGCCTGGCTTTCTCCATTCCCACTCGTGGGCCCTAGCCAGACCCTGCCCATGGGTGGACTCCATTTGCTCTGTGCTCCCTCTGACTCTGAAAGAGCTGGGAAAGTTTCTCAGCTTGTAAGAACCCAAGTGATTAAATTGGACCCACTGGGATAATCCAGAATAATCTCACCTCAAGGTCCTGGACCTTCAGCACATGCACCAAGTCCCTTCTGCCATTTAAGGTGACGTATTCACAGGCCCAGAGATTAGGATGGGGACAACATTTTGGTGTGCTGTCCCTCCGGGGAGCACGTTCACGCCTCTTCCTTCCCCCTCCTCACTTCCCCCCTCCCCGCCCAGGTGAGGTACCTTTGCCTTTCTCTCTCCTAAGCTCCGGGGGTCCTTCTTTTGCCTCTGTAACTTGTTTCCTGAGCCTACACCCCCCAGCTGGTTCACTTCTACTACATCTATAACTTTAAGTAAACTTTCCCTTACCATTTGATTTCTGAGCTCTGAATTCTTTCTTTGCTGAACTCAAGAACTGAGGTCCAATTTTGCTGCCAACACCGCCGGTGACAATAGAACGTGTTGGAGACAGAACTATTTTGTTATACAGAGGTGCTGCTCATTCCTCTTAATGTCACAGTCTCTATGGAGTTCTCTACCGATGACCATGTTGGTCCGATTCTTTTAAACAAGCAACACTGAACAAATACTCTTCTTAGGGTAAGTAACCATGACATTTCTGAGTCATAGACTGTCCCCTTTTTTGGTTTCAGTAGATAGGGGCAGATCTCCCTTCAAAGTGGTGGTACCAATTTTCACTCACCCCACAGCCTCAACAAGTTCTTTGGATTCCCCAACCCCACCCACTGCCCTGGTCCAGGGGCCACGCACTCTGCCTTGTTGCAACGTCTTTTAACTGGGCTCCAGTCCTCACCTGTGCGTATTCACTCTGCAGTCAACAGAGCTAATCCAGCCACTGGCTAATTAATATTTCTCAGGGGCATCCCATTGCTTTATGAATAAAATCCATGTCCTTAGAATAAACTTGAAGGTGTCTCTTGCTTGGGCCTCACCTCGTTTCCAGTCCCTTCCCACATGCCCATGTGTACCACTGTCTCCAGGCATATCACAAGCTTCTAGTTTGGTCTGGAATATTCTTCCTGCTCCACATTCGTTCCGTATATCGGGAAAATTCCTTTCTCCTTCAAGGCTTAACAAACAAACAAGCCCACATATATTAACAACATTTTGCTAATATTGTTTTTTTTTCCTATTTTTTACCCTGGAGTATTAAAACAAATTTTAGAAACTATATAATTTTCCTGTAAACACTTTAGTATGTTTCTCTAATATTTAAAAAAACAAACAAAAAATCCAGAACTACAAGAGCATTATTATAGCAAAATTGCCATTCTTTAGTTCATCTAGTATCCATTCCATGTCCAAGTGTCCCAGGCTTTTAAAAAATGTTTTTCTTTCTTTAAAAAAACCACACACACAAACAAACAAAAAACTAGTTTATCTTAATTATAACCCAAACAAGGCCCACAAACTGCATTTGGCTATGTGTCTGTCTCTCAAGCCTGCTTTATCACAGATCTCCTCCCACCCTCCTTCCTTTGCTTCTGATGCTATTTATTGAATAAAGCAATTGGGCCATTTGGTCTGTAGAATTTCCCACATTCTGGATCGGCTGATTGCTTCCTGGTGGGGTACCATAATATGTTCATTTGGTTACTACATTTCCTTAAGCTTGTAGTTAATTATAGGCTTAACTGGGTTTACCTTTCTCTTTCCTTTTCTTTTTTAGTTCGTGAGAATACATTAGAAGTGAGGCTGCATACTTCCTATTGCATATCAATGTGCACATGGAGTCTGGTTGTCCCAGTTTTGGTGATGCTAACATTGTTCATCTGGACATATTTGAAAATATTACGATATTCTTTTTTTAAAAATATATTTTATTGATTTTTTTACAGAGAGGAAGGGAGAGAGATAGAAAGTTAGAAACATCGATGAGCGAGAGAAACATCGATCAGCTGCCTCCTGCACACCCCCTACTGGGGATGTGCCCACAACCAAGGTACATGCCCTTGACCGGAATCGAACCTGGGACCCTTCAGTCCGCAGGCTGACGCTTTATCCACTGAGCCAAACCGGTTAGGGCACGATATTCTTAATTAATAAAGTAATTACCTTTTACTGTTTACTCACCATATATCAGGCGTTTTGCTGGTTGCTTTCTATATGATTTTCTCACATTGCGTCTCAGTACATTAACTATACTTATAGATGTGCAAAAACATGCCAGCCCTGGTTGGTTGGAAGACTCTGAATTACTGCTCTGATCTGCAGTTTACTTCTTGTAATACAATGATTCCTGCTGACTTACAGTAAGGCTTATTTTGAGGATTATTTGAGATAATGAATGTGAAAGAACTTTGAAAAGTAGATGGGGCTATCCTATACTGTTACAACATTAGTAACATGAGTTAAAGGAAAACAGAAATAAACCCCAGAATAGTCCTGTGACCGTCTCATTTATTCATCACACTTTTCTTGAAGGCACTTTGCCAGGCCCTGAAGTCGAAGATGAAAGACACAGCGTCGGACCTCCGGGAGCGCGGAGTAGCGGGCGCAAGGCAGAGGGAGCTAGGAGCCAGAGGGACAACGCCACAATGAGGCCAGAGCCACCCGCTTCCCGCGATCCGCTCCGGCGGGAGCCAGCGATCCCAGGGACAACGCCACAATGAGGCCAGAGCCACCCGCTTTCCGCGATCCGCTCCGGCGGGAGCCAGCGATCCCAGGGACAACGCCACAATGAGGCCAGAGCCACCCGCTTCCCGCGATCCGCTCCGGCGGGAGACAGCGATCCCAGGGACAACGCCACAATGAGGCCAGAGAAACTCGCCTGCCGGGAGGGCTGCTCCCGGGGACCCGCACACAGTCCGCCCGGTGCTCCTGGGCCGCGGCGGTTCTTAGCCCGCGGAGCCGGCCTGCTGGGGCTCTGCGAGGAGCGCGGCTCGGCTAGACGCGGAGGGCGGAGCGCACGGCCCGCGGGAGCCGCCTCTCCGGTCCGAGCCGAGGTCGTGCATTAAAGAAAGGATCACTCCAGCCTCCGCGGCTGCCTGGCTAGATCGGGGGGCCGAGCGCGTGGCAGCCCGAGCCCGCCGTTTCCCGGCCTGGCCGGAGGCAATCTTGCGTCCTCGCGGCCTTTCCGTGCCCAAGTGACCTCTCCTCCGTGCGCTCCCTACGCTTTTCCGGGGGGTGCTCTTGTCCCAGGCCTGCACCCGTTTGCAGCGACTTCCCAGGGGTTCGGAGGAGCGGCAGGACTCAGGACTCAGCCTAGAAGACATGTAAGGATGGCTGCGGGGACCAGTCGTTGAGGAAGGAGCAGCCGCGTGTGTGTGTTGTTTTTCTTTGGATCTGTTGTTGGAGTTGCCAAAGGAGCCCGGACTGTGCTTCCCTTCCCGGGGTCGCAGGCCAGTCCGCTCTGTCTGCAAAGCTAGCGGGGTCCGGAGCCCCAGTTCCAGAACGTGGGTGCCGGGCGGGCGGGTTTTTCCGCCTTTTGAGGTCGCAGGGGCGGGGTTCCAGGGCGCCCGTGACACGCCCGGCCACGTTGCGGAACAGGAAGCGTCGGGGATGCTCAGCGGGTTTCAGAGGACAGGGGAGATGTTGGGGTCCGGCTCGCCTGGGGTGCTTGGCTTTCCGGTCTGCATTGTGTCGTGCTGAGCGCCAGTGCAAGTGGGATTTTACAGGTATCCTCGTAACCGTGTGATAATATTTATGCTTCTAGGCTAATTGCTATGTCTTGTTTCTGCAAACTGGAACCTCCCTGCCCTTTTAAGATTGCAAGTTAATCTATTAGAAAAAAAAAAGCACACCCACAGTATTAGTTATTTGCTGGGAAATCACTATTACTTAAGTAAGGCCCGTGTTATTAAATCGTAGGGGTTTCTCACTTCCTAGTTTATGATATAGATAGAAAAAACATTTGTTTTAAAATACCATTTAAGATAGAAATTTTAACCACAAATAGCCCTTGACTACATTGTGGTAATAATATATTTAAGATAACAAGCAAACACGAAAAAATTACAGGTCAGTGCATAGTAAACATTTAAAAAATACGTTTTTATTGATTTTTTAGAGAGAGGAAGAGGGAGAGAAACGCGGATGGCTGCCTCCTGCACGCCCCCTATCGGGGATTGAGCCCTTATCTCAGGCATGTGCACAGACTGCAATCAGCAACTGCTTTGTGCACTGGAGGAAGCTCAACCAACTGAGCCACACCGGCCAGAATGTGAGCATTTTTTTAATGCTTTGGAGTGGGTGAGGGAAGGATTTTAAATATTCAACAATTTTGAAGTTAAAAATCAGTCAATAGATAAAATATTTTGCTCTCTAGTAAGGATTGCAGCTACTACTTATGTGTTGGGCAGTACAGAACAATGCTGCACACGTGTCTTACAATTACAGGGTGGGGGGGACTTAGGTTTACAGTCCTGAGAATGGAAAACAGTTTATTCTTATTTATAGGATTATTTTTCATATGAACAACTGTAAACCTACTTTTGCCCCATCCTGTAAAAAAAATACACATAGTATTCTCTCAATATGTATTTTAAAAGACCCATTCTTGAACAATAGCACAATATCAGTAGTTTTTCTTTAGCTACGTGCTTCTCAGCTTTTTTTAAAAAACTTTCATTGTTGGTTAGGCTCATTGTCTGTGTGCCACCGAGCAGCAGTCATGTACCTTCTAAGAAGTGGTGCATTTTCTACTTAAAAAAAAAAAATCCTCGGCCTGCGGACTGAAGGGTCCCAGGTTCCATTCCGGTCAAGGGCATGTACCTTGGTTGCGGGCACATCCCCAGTAGGGGGTGTGCAAGAGGCAGATGATTGATGTTTCTCTCTCTTCATCGATGTTTCTAACTCTCTATCTCTCTCCCTTCCTCTCTGTAAAAAATCAATAAAATATATTTTTTAAAAAATCCTCACCTGAGGACATGTTTGGAGAGAGGAAGGAGGGGAGAAACATCCATGTGAGCTACACCGGCTGGGCTACATTCTATGGGTTTTAACAATGTATAATGACTATTATAACAATGTATATCCACTGTTATACTATCATTCTAAAAATACTTTGTGTTCTACCTGTCCATCCCCCCTCCCTTCCCTCCCAATCCCCTACCCCTGTCCCCAATCCCTGGCAATCATTGATCTTTTTACTGTCTTCATAGACTTGCTTTTTCCAGAATGTCATATAGGAGGAATCATACAGTATGCAGGCTTTTCGCATTAGCTTCTTTCCCTTAGTAATGTGTATTTAAGGGCCTTCCATGCTTCTTTCATGGCTTGATAGCTTTTTTTTTTTTTTTTTTTAGCACTGAATAATAGTTTATTGTCTGGATGTAACAGTTTGTTTACCCATTCACCTGCTAAAGGACATCTTGGTTGCTTCCAAGTTTTGGCAATTATGAATAAACCTGCTGTACATATCTGTGTGCAGGTTTTTGTGTGGATAGAAGCTTTAAACTCATTTGGGTAAATATCAAGCAGCACAATTGCTGGGTCATAGGGTAAGTGTTTGTTTAGTTTTATAAGAAACTGCCAAATTGTGTTCCAAAGTGGCTGTCCCATTTTGCATTTCCACTAACAATGAATGAGTTGATGTTGCCAGTCTTTTGGATTTGGGCCATTCTAATAGGTATGTAGTGACAACTTATTTTAATTTACATTTCCCTGATGACATATAATGTGGAACATTTTTTCATATACTTATTTGGAAAGGTGGCTGTTAAGGTCTTTGGCCCATTTTTAGTTTATTTTTAATTTTTATTTTTTACCCAGCTACATTGAGGGACAAATGACAAATAAAATTGTATATATTTAAAATATACAATGTGATGATTTGAGATTGTGCAATGATTACCACAATCGGGTTAATTAACACATCCATCATCTCACATAGTTAGCTTTTTTGATGTGGTGACAACATTTAAGATTTCTCCTCTTACTTCTGCCCAGACCTCTGGCGCTGCTCGCAGAGCTGGAGTGCTCCGTGGCCTCCAGGTCACCGTCCATTTGAAAATGCTAGTCTTGAGCATTAGCTGAGCAACCTTCAGTAGGATGCCTCCTGTGCTAGCCTATCTCAGGCCGTCCTTTTATTAACCTTTCTCGCCAGAGGTGTCAAAAATAGATGCTTTCTTTATAGGATGCAAAGTCCATCTATGACTCAGATGAACCCATAAACGTTTAAAGTTTCCCTTAGAGAACCACTGCACATACATGTCTCATTACAGGGGCCACCCAGAGTTTCAAGGCTGATATGCTGACGAAAAGCCCATATGGTGAAAGTATGTATGACCTGAATGCAGTAATCAGAGATGGTGGCTCTGTCAGACCCTGTCCCCTGAGCCCAGAGCGAGGGGAAGGCATTGCTTGGGTCTCTGAAGCTCACGGTGTGAGAATGGTCACTTTGTGTGTGGAAAAGAGTGTAGAAAAATGATGAATTCACACCAACACATTACAAAGGGCTTATGACCTATTGGTTTAAGGTCCTGGAGGGGTGACTCCTTTTAGGAGTCAGATTACACTTCAGTAGTATCTGTGGACTTTCCCTTATGTCTGCTTCTAAAGCATCCATCTGATTGATTTTTTTTTTTAATGTATTTTATTGATTTTTCACAGAGAAGAAGGGAGAGGGATAGAGAGCTAGAAACATCGATGAGAGAGAAACATCGATCAGCTGCCTCCTGCACATCTCCCACTGGGGATATGCCCGCAACCCAGGTACATGCCCTTGACCGGAATCGAACCCGGGACCCTTCAGTCCGCAGGCCGACGCTCCATCCACTGAGCCAAATCGGTTTCGGCCTGATTGATTTTTGTTTAATGATTTTCAAAGTAGTGGTAAAGTTTTAGCAGCTGAGTGGGCAGCAATTCTAATAGCGTTATTCCGGCCTACCTGGTTATCAGTAATCAGACATATATCATTGTAAGAGTAGAGGACCATTTGTTCAGTTGGGAATGTAGATTGAATTCTGTGACTCCTTAGTTCATTAAAATAATTTTCTTTTTATTGACTTCAGAGAGGAAGGGAGAGGGAGAGAGATAGAAACATCAATGATGAGAGAAAATCATTGATCGACAGCCTCCTGCAACCCGGGCATGTGCCCTTGACCGGAATCGAACCCAGGACCCTTCAGTCCGCGGGCCAATGCTCTATCCACTGAGCCAAACCGGCCAGGGCTCATTCGTTCTTCATACCGAACCATAACCCAATCCTTTCCCTTTTCCCTGTAGGTTCATGGCTAAGACCTGGACATCGTCTGCACCTTCCCCGGGATTCGACAGTTTCCTAGTGGTGACTCCTTGATGCGTCTGACTCGTGGTTGCTGGCAGCTCCTGGGCTGGAGACATGGCTGCTTTCCAATTTGGGTTTGGAAGGCTGAATTTTCATCTGTTGAAGAGAAGGAGTTTCTTGCTGTTGAAACTCATAGCTTTTGTCTGTTCCGTGCTTCTGTTTTGTGAATTTTTAATCTATTACTTAGTGATCCTTCCGTGTAATTGGCCCGAGGTGAAAACTCCAGCCCATGGCGGGAAACAAGAGACTCTCGAACCTGTCCTGAAAGCCATGTTTTTGGCCGATACCCACTTGCTTGGGGAAGTAAGAGGCCACTGGCTAGACAAATTACGGAGGTAGGAGCTAACATCAGGAATCTTTCTGAAATTCTGTAGGCAAAAAGGTATAGTGCTCTCCCCACTGGCCAGGCTGAATAGCTTCAGGATTATTCATTATTTTCCTCTCAAAGGAAAACATGGGGCAGTTGACTTCTCCTTAAACTTACTATTTACTGAGCATCTGTTATATACAAGGACCCAGAGTTTGGAAGGGAGGTCTGGGTCTGAGCCTCATGACTTTGGACAAGTTACTAGGGCCTCTGAGCCTGTCTCTGCCTCCTTGTTTGTATCTGGGTTCACCTGAGAAACGCCTCAGGCTGTGTGAAGAAAACGCCCACAGCAACGCCCAGCACATGGCTGTGGTCAGCGAAGGTACGTTTCCCTTTCCCCTGCGCAGGGCGGGCCCTCACAGGCACTGGAGTGTGTTTTGAGCTCGCTTGGTTTTGGTCCACTCTGGCAGCAGGAGCAGCAGAGCGGCTGTGGCTGCCTCCCTGGGGGAGGATCAGCTCCTGTCTCCACCTTAGACCTGCCCAGCGCCGTCTGTTTTCCCACAGGAGACTTTTAAGAAATTTTAATGGTGGTGAAATACACATGACATAAAAGTTATCATCTTAAGCGTCTTTTGTTAAAATCCTCACCCGACAATTTGTTTTTATTCAGCTTAGAGACAGAGGAAGGGGGCTGGGGGTGGTGGTGGGGGGGGGAGAGAGAGAGAGAGAGAAAGAGAGAGAGAGAGAGAAAAAGAGAGAGAAAGAAAGAAAAAGAGAGAAAAAGAAAGAGAAAGAGAGAGAGAGAGAAAGAGAGAGAGAGAGAGAGAGAGAGAGAGAGAGAGAAAGAGAGAGAGAGACATTCATGTAGAGAGAGAATCATTGATTGATTGCCTCCTGTACTTGTCCTGACTGGGGATCAAACCTGTAACCTAGGTATGTGCCCTGAACAGGAATCGAACCCGCAACCTCTTGGTGTATGGGATGACGTTCTAATGACGAAACTAGGAACTGGAGAGAGTAGGCAACATTCTCAGAGCTCCACAGCTGGCCAGGGGGTGGAGCTGGGATGCTAAGCCATTGCTCCTCAGGTTCCAGCTCCAGACTCTTTACATTCACTTGCTCACCTACAGGCGATACTGGCGAGTGTGCTTCTCTCATTGTCTCCCCCCCCCCCCCCCCCGCTCCGAAGGCAAGAAGTTGAGGTCCCTTCGCGAAGTGGAAGTTAAGGCAGATGCTGTCATCTGCTTGGTGTCGTGCAGAATCAGTCTACACCGGGCAGCGTTGGCAGCTGCACTGAGCTCTCAGATCCCCAGGGCTCTCATGACTAAGTGTAGGCTTCGGGGTGCAGTGTGGGGTCTGATCTGTGGGTACCATCGGAGGAGTCAGCCTTCAATAGGTGTGGGAGGGGCAGCTTGACTCCCCTTTGGTGCCTTCGCTCCCCACATTTAATCGGGATTCTTTCTTTGGTCCTCCAGGCAGTGGATGTGAATGCGAGGATGGGGCCAGAGAGGAAGGAGAATGGGACCATTTAGTTCCCCTTTTAAATGGCCTGTAAGACAGATGTGGGCTCCCCCCGAGAAACAGCCTGATGCCTTTTCCCACTGGCCTCTAGGGAATGGCAGATGGAGAGAGCCTTCCAGACGGCTCTGTGGTTGTTGCAGCCGGAAGTCGTCTTCATTTTGGGAGACATCTTCGATGAAGGGAAGTGGAGCTCCCCCCAGGTAGGACCCTTCAGTCCTGGCACCCTAATCCTGCTTTCACGTCCTGTACGGGCAGCCCAGCAAATGCATGGAGCAATGTCGGTGAGGGTTGGAAGTTTGTTTAATACTAATATTAACAATGTGTACTCTGTCTTGAAGATTATTAGGGTCTGTGTCTAATATCTCGAGTTAGGTTGACCAATCTCATATTTGTCTATGTAGGAAATATGCCCATTGGCCAGACATTGTTGGAATGCACAGTCCCATGAACCTCTTTCAAAAGGGGGAAATTAGCAAATAAATGGATGCTATTTCAGCTGTCACCAAAATGACAGAATACACAGTGAAATGTAATTTGGCTTTACATTCTTATTTAACCACTAACTCATAAGAACTGTGCTACATAAGTTACTTGCCACCATCCTCTTATTTCCTTTCTTCTGAGGGAGAGGTGCCGAAGGATCCCTGAGGGTTTCGTGTGCGGCTCCTCTGCCTTCAGGGGTCCTGAGGCCTCTGTGGGGTGTTGAGGTGATGGTAAGAGAGGCTGTTCTCCCCTTAGCTGTCACTGCCTTGCTCTTTACATTTCTGGAATTAGTAATAATTCCAGACGAAACTAAACGAAACTAAACTAAAATGAGCTCCTCTTCTACTTAATTAAAAAAGTTTAGTCACTAATGGTTTTTGGAAGATATTAAAATCCATTGGTATTTCACAGGACAATCCAAAAACTGTGCAAAGAAAGTCTTGGTCCAGATGTGATAGAAACCCAGTGTTTATAGGTTTCAATGTTTGCTGTCATCTAGTTCAAAATTAAATATGAGCTAATGGAAATGCTATCTGTAAGAAGCAACTAGTTATAAAATGAGATTGGACATGTTGCTTTTCCAAATTAAGGGCAACATTTTATGTTTTTCTAATTTTATGTTATTCTGATTTTATATTATTCTAACTCTAAATATTATTTCTTGGAGTGGAGTCTTTGTAAATGCACTGAAGGGTTCTATACAGCATATTTCCCTAGGTTGGGCCATACTTAAAACGTTTAGGATAAAGTTGATTTCTAGTCAACTAGGTATTATCGACCCTAGAGTTATCCACTTGATATTTTTAAGCTTAATAAAAATGAGAACTATATGAACATAATTCTCAAGATTTAATAGTTAGATTTTGTTTCCCCCCATGTCATCAGGCCTCACTTCCTCAGCTGTGGCCACAGTGAAATGCTAAATGCTTGTCCTTGTCTTGGTGGAGATGCATGAATTTACTTAACATTTCCCAAGAGTTTGTTCTTAGAACATGTCCAGATCTGATGTGATTCCCAAGCTGGGGTCCTTGTGTCACCTTCAGGGGATATTAAAAAAATAGCTGAATAAACCAAATATTTCGGGGGGGGGGGGGGAGAGGGTTGCCAGTTAATTTTTTAAGATGAGTATAGCATTTAATTAAATTTTGGCATAAAATTAAATAATTAAAATATTAAGTTAGTTTTGGAAAAAGAAGTTTGACATAAAATTAGACATTCTGAGTTCTACATTAGCTTTATGGGCATCGGATTTGGACAGGGGCACTAACTTCTCACCATCAAAGGGGGAGCCACAGAGAAGAGAAGGTTCTCTGGGCCTCACAGTGACCATTTTATCCCACAGGCCTGGGCGGATGATGTGAAGAGGTTTCAGAAAATGTTCAGACACCCAGGTCACGTGCAGCTGAAGGTAGTTGTTGGCAACCATGACATTGGCTTCCACTACCAGTAAGTAGCTCACTACAGCATGGCCACGGGAGCCCTCTTGCTGACTGTAATTTCGAATCTGCTACAGTTTAGGTGAAAGCCTTATTTGGACTGTGTGGAGGGAATCTGTATAAAGTGTAAGCTCTGGAGTGTAAGCTCCAGGAGGGCCAGGGTTTTTGCCTTGGTGCATCGTACACCCTCAACAGAACTCTTAAATGAATGATTTGTGTGTGCCTTTGGGTGATTCTAACTTGAAACTTGCCTTTAATGGCCAATTATTTTCTTTGGGACTCAGAAAACAAGATGATAAAAACTTGAATAGCTAATATTTATATAGTGCTTATTATGTGCCTGCCTGTGTTAAGCACTTTATTTCCACACATTAACTCATTTAATCTTTACCCTGGTCCTATTATTTTACCCATTGTACCAGTGAGGAAGCGGAGGCCCTTGGGACTAAGTCACTTGCCATAGGCCTGACGGTTTTTCAGAAGTGCGGTAGTGGAGCTGAGAGTTGCACCTTGATAACCTGGGGCCAACTGGAGCTCTGAACTAAAAATGCTTGTCTGGGGCTCAAATCCTGAAAGGTTTTTTTTTGTGTGTGTTCATGATAACTCTTAAGATATTTTAAAATGCCTTGTTCTGCCACTGCTGGTTGGTTCAGTTGGTTGGGGCGTTGTTCCCTACACCAAAAGGTTGCAGGTTCAATTCCCAGTCAGGGCTTGTACCTAGGTTTCGGGATTGATCCCTGGTCAGGGCGCATATGGGAGGCAACTGATTGATATTTTTCTCTCACGTGGATGTTTCTCTCTCTCTCTCTCTAAAAATCAATGAACATATTCTAAAAAGCTTAAAATGGCTTGTTCTGAAAAATGTTTCTTTTTACAATTGAATGTAGGATGAACAGATACAGAATAAAACGATTTGAGAAAGTTTTCAACCCTGAAAGGCTATTTTCATGGAAAGGAATTAAGTGAGTATTTGTGAATTCTTATGTCCTTTAGTCCTTGGGAACTTAATTTTTCAACGGTGACTGCCATGCTGGGTCAGACCCATGGTCTGTTGGGCCTGGTTTACAGTCTCTGATGAAGGTGCCTCATATCCTCGTTGATGGTCCCCATTGGAGTCACCACCCTAGTTTTCCCTGACAATCCAGTGAATTGGTTAGTCTATGACTTTGCCTGGCCACTGAGGGAAATTTATTCTTTCTGTTAGTGCCATCTGTGGATGATAGAAATTTCACCAGTCCACTTTGTAAAGAAGTATTTTTTATTTGTTCAGAATTTACTTATTTCCTTTGAAAAGGATGTTCCTGTAGTTACGGTGTCCTAGGATGTGACGGCCAGTGTGCTGGCTGTGCTCTGTAGCTCTGGGCCTATCCCCCACTCCCCTCAGCCTTGAGTTTTAGATCATAGCTTCCTAACCCTTTGTCTGACCATCAGCACCAGCTCCCCCTCCACAGGGCAATCCCTTGACCCTTCCTGGTCTCTGTGTGTTTGAGCACAGTGGCCCCGATGGTACATGCACATTATTCTAGCTGCGGACTAGTGGGAAGAGAAAAGGCGGGAGAGGAAGTTTTCCTTGTTTTGACCACATCCTTCCTGTGGCATCCAGGACTCTTTTGGCTTTGGCCAGGGCAGCTCATGGGCCCATCAAATGATCTGATCTGTGTGCAGCCCCCAGGGACCAGGGGTCAGTGGGCTCTCCACAGATGCCCTGGTTCCATCCCTTTGCCTGCAGGGCAGAGCCTAGTAGCTTCCTTTCCTGAGTCAGAGTGGAGACTCGACACAGAGTTTTTTCTCCCTGAGCCTAGAGTTCAAGAAGTTTTCATTAAATACCCCGATCATATTTCAGGTCATTTGATCAGTCAGCTCCTCATCTCTAAAATTCTTTACATTTCAAGCAAGCTTTACGACAGGTACCTTCTTCATGCCCAGTTGCTATGTGTGTAGGAAATAAAAACAAATTTAATGGGAGCTTATAGAGAACAGAACTAAAGTGGTTGCCAAAGAGAACTGTAGTTGACTTGGTGTGGGATTATCTATACCAGTCAACTCTAACCAGCACCCCAGCCCCACCCCCCAGCCCTGCCTGTTTGCTGAGTACATGGACATCACTGAACATTGCCCATAGTTCACGTTAGGTAATAACAACGCCTAACATTCACTTTCCAGCGGCAGGCCCTATTCTGTTGTGATCTTTCATTTAATTCTCACAATAAGCCGATGGCGTGGGTGGACTATTCATATCCCTGTTTGGCAGGTAAGGCACCAGGAGGCTAAGTAACTTGCCCAGGGAACATGCTGAGCTTAGTGGTATCTGTCCTAGAGCTCCTGCACGCTTGCATTTCTCCTAAGTTCCGGGTTACAGATCCTTTCACCACGTCCTGGACTCCACTCCCCGTAATGCCATTTTGTCTTCTTAATATCGACTCCCGCCTAAACACACAGACTAGTCGAGGTGAGATTTAAAGCTGCTCTGGGAGTTCCTTCATCCTGTGGCTGCCTCGCTCCATTTCCTGGGGATAATGTCGCAGGAAGACAGTACCCGGGAAGCCCCTGACTCTCCGCTTGCTCCCTCTGCCTCAGCTTTGTGATGGTCAACAGCGTCGCCCTGGAAGGGGATGGCTGCAACATTTGCTCTGAAGCAGAGGCTGAGCTCATGGACATTTCTCACAAGCTGAACTGCTCCCGAGAGGTAGGAGAGGGCCTGAGGGGCACAGGTGCCTTCAGTGCTGGGTGTCCTGCGGGCACGGCGAGCGGGTCTCAGCTCCCGCTCCCCTTCCTGCCATGCACCCGACACTGGGCTTGCCAGGTCACTGAGTGATTTCTGACCCGCAGGAGCAGCGCCCCGGCCAGTGTGGGCATGGGCCGCCGCTGCCGGCCTCGGCCCCCGTCCTCCTGCAGGTGAGGTGGGGAGGAGCCGCTCCGGGTGCTGGGCAGGGCCACGCAGGGTCCCGTGAAGCCACGCTGACGCCTCTCTCAACCCCGGCAGCATTTCCCGCTTTACCGGCAAAGCGACGCCAACTGTTCTGGGGAGGACTCCGCGCCCCCGGAGGAGAAGGGCATCCCCTTTAAGGAGCGATATGACGTGCTTTCTCGGGAGGCCTCACAAAAGGTTGGGCAGCTCGCCAGGCTCTCACAGGAGGACAGATGACCCTTGTAGTTTCGACGGAGGGACGGAGGGAGGGTTCTGGCGGTATTTTAGATTTTTATGTCATCGTTTTGTTCCTCCCACCCCCCCACCCCCCGTAAATCCACTTCTGTTTGCTAATATCCAGTTAATGACAGTCTCAGCTATTCTGTATTCAGAAATTTCCCACCAACTTAAATGTATGTGGAAATGTAAATAGAACTTAAGAGTTAAACTTTTAGGGACTTAAAATGCTCTTTCTTAACTGTATATTTATATAATGTTATTGCTAATAGCATATAAACATACTTATGAGATAAATGTATTAAATATTTATACAAACAGTGACATCGGAGAGGAGAAGAACAGATTCTCTCTAGGAGCCTGAACTTACTTTGAAAAGAATCTGAACAAACCAAAGGATTTTCAGGGAAAATCAGATCAGTCCCATGAAGTGGGGATTTCGGATCTAACTTAATGGGGCCAGCAGGGCGGGGCCCGGCGGGGCTCTGGGCCAGCGCTCACCGCCTGTCGCTGTCCCCTGTGCGCAGCTGCTGTGGTGGCTCCGGCCGCGCCTGATCCTGAGCGGCCACACGCACAGCGGCTGCGAGGTGCTCCACGGCGCCGGGGTCCCCGAGCTCAGCGTGCCGTCTTTCAGTTGGAGGAACAGAAACAACCCCAGTTTCGTCATGGTAACGTGAACATTTATTGTCGTCTCAAAGCTTTCATAAGTATTTAAATCAACACAGTCATCAACTATCGACTGCTGCAATCTGTAAAAATATACAAAAGCCATACAGAAACTTCCCCACCCCACATGCACACTTAGCTGGATGCACTGCCCCCCGTCTGCCCCCGCCTACCATTATTCCCGAGGGGCGGCGGGAGGAGCCGCTTGCAGAGTGGTTGGCCCTTCAGGGACGGCAGTGTCCTCGGGATGAGACTCTCTGTGTTGACTTTTTTAAGGGAACAGGGCCCTTACTTCATTAGCTGTGTGCAGCTTCCTTGTCTTATTTTCCAAACGGGCCCAGGTGCCCTGGCAGAAAAACGCTGCAGCTCTCACACGTCGATGAACACGGTAAACGCCCAGTCAGTCGCCGGTGACTGACACTATACTTTCCATCCGGGAGACAAAACTGCCTGGGCGCTTAACGTGTTGAGGTGGTTTCAATCAGTGACCACCTGATGTTGCAGCTCCTTTTGCCCTCGGGTTGCCGCATCCAGTGCCTCATGCTTTGATGCCAGGGACTGACTTGTACTTCATGAAAAGATGGGGAAAACCTCATGTTGTCAAATTCAAAGTCGAAAAGGAAAACATTCCCCACTGTCACCCCACATAGCAAATATGTCTACAAAAAAAAAAAAAAAAAGCCACTGAGATGCCCCTGACACATGTATATCTAGGCGACAGATCGCTCACTTTAGCATCAGGCGGCATGAGAAACGGCCTCGCACTCCCGTTCCTCGATGACCGCTGCTCTGTCTCCGTGCCTCTCTGAGTACCTCTCGTGTGGTGGAGGAACCCCTGACTTCCTTCTCACCACCGCTTGTGTAGGCTGCAGATGTGCCTCCTTAAGCCCCAGGTCGGGAGGGCTGCTCCCTGCCTCACCTAAGTCAGCCAGGGAAGCTGCTGTGTGTGTAAGAGACGGTCCTGTGGGAGCTGTGCATGGAGCGCTCACTGCAGCGTAACATTCTCGTTTCCTTTCCAGGGCAGCATGACGCCCACAGAGTATGCCCTGGCCAAGTGCTACCTTCCCTTGGAGGACACGGTTCTGATGACGTACTGTGCAGCCGCGGGGCTCCTTGTGGTCCTCATGTTGGTTCACCTTGGACTTGTAGCCTCACCTGTTCTTTTTGGTTATAAGCTGCTCAGAAAGTTTAAGACAGTGTGAAGAGCAGGAGGCTTTTTGCATTTAGTCATCGACATCAAAGCCAAAGAAACTGAACTTCAGGCAGTGCTCATGGGAGATGAGACCCAAGTAGACGACTGTCTTGATGCACATCACAGAAATGCTAAATCATGGATGCAAATGACTGCAGAATAGATAGTTTATTGTACTGTTCTCATGCTATGAAAATGGAACATGTACTCTACGACAAGTCTGTTTTCTCATTTTTTTTTTCAAATATATGTGGAATCAAAGATTGTATCTGTACAATACGTAAATGCTATTTATTAACGTCATCACTTGCATGCACTGGACAGGCCTTCCTTCCCCAGGAGGGAGCCAGCAGCCCCGCGGCACACGGGGGCTTAGGTGTGCACACACCAAACATGGGGTTCGCTTCTGTCCTCCTATGACGTTGTTCTCAAAGTCCTATATAGTACAAAGCTGTACAATGAAAATGAAAGTACAGATGACACGAGGAGGAATATACTGTCTACACAGACTTTTTAAAATCAGGGTAATTTTCTCTCTAGCAGACTGAGTTGTTAAATTGGAACTTATTGCCTGTCAATGATGAAAATAAATTTGAAAAATGGATGAGGGAGTGGTTTTTTTTGTATTTAAAAATAAATATCTAGGTAATTTTAAGCCAGATTTGTTTTTGTGTGTATTTTTTCAATCAAACTTTTAAATAGGAAGTTTAGTTACAGGAGGATTGTTGAGTAATAGTAATGCATGCAACAATATATGCCTTTATTTTTTGTGGGGGGTTTTCTGTTCAGTTTTCATGTTTTACTTTGAAAGTGCAATGGAAACTGAAAATAAGTTCTGCTTTAGATGTCTCAGTTCAACTGAGAGTTTTACCAAAGAGTTAAGGATGAGAGGGGAACAGGAATTGGGTGATAATGAAATAAAATGTTTGTTGCATTGATTGTCTATCAAGTAGTCATCCTTTCATGTTAAACTAGTAGTATTTAACATTGGATAAGTTTATAAAGGATGATAAAAATGCTAATTATATTATAGAGTAGACTTTAAAATACCAACAAATACTAGAAGACTAAAAAGGGAATTAATGAAGTAATGCAGGCTAGGCTGTCACTTCTCTGGGTTTGTACTGTTGAACTACAGCTTTGGACACCGTTACAGAGTATCTCTGACCTCCGGACACTGCCCTCAAAGCTGTGGCTGCGGCCAGAATAGAAAACGTCTCTGCGGCAGTGGTTCTTGCTTTCTAGATACACTGTGCCAGAACTTTTGAGGCTGCATTTGCAGATCTTTCAAGTTTGAGAAACAGCCATATATGTTGACTTTATATTTCAAACAAAAGGTCTGTCACGTTTCTTCTTCAAAAGGCAAGTGGAAGTGCCATCCTTGGATTCTCCTAGGAAGAATCCAAGACACAAACGGTGACACCCTCTTGTCTTCTTCCTATTTGTTTAAGATGGAACCTGTGGTCAAGTAAGTGGCTCAAAAGCTTCGACAGTGGGAATGGTCAACCCATTTCCACGCAGGGAACATGCAAACATCCTTAAGTAGCAAAATAATCAAGGAACATACTATCTGGAGAGAAAAAACATCTTGGATCCCTGTGTTCCCTGAAGGGAGCTTGTGATGTTGTAAGCATTATTTCTAAGATGTGGAAGATTGATGTGTATTATACATTTATATATATGTGTGTGTGTGTGTGTGTATATATATATATATATATATATATATATATATGTAAATTTTTAAAGTCAAGGAGTATTTTTCAAAGTCCTACCTTGATAAAATGTCCTAAATTCCACAGATACCATTCATTCCCTTCCTTAGAGAAGTGGCAGGTCACATAGACACTTAGCTGTTCAGCACAATAAAAACACGTTGCTTTTACAGGTGTAGCCATAATCAAGGCACAGAGATCTACCAGGATTTTTCTTTAGTAGTTATACAAAATAATCTCACATGTTGTGGTCTGTACAGTGTAATAAACCAGCAATAAAACAACAAGAATATATGAGAGAAGGCTGTTGCCCCAGCAGAGGGAAAGTCTAGAGCAGCAGTTCTCAACCTGTGGGCCGCGACCCCTTTGGAGGTCGAACGACCCTTTCACAGGGGTCGCCTAAGACCATCGGAAAACACATATATAATTAATTACATGTTGTTTTTGTGATGAATCACTATGCTTTAATTATGTTCAATTTGTAACAATGAAATTGGGGGTCACCACAACATGAGGAACTACATTAAAGGGTCGTGGCATTAGGAAGGTTGAGAACCACTGGTCTAGAGAATCATTTTCAGACGGGACACGCTTCGCAGTAGTGAAGGTGGTAGGTTTTCTGCCTAAAAAGCAAAGGCTCAAAGTAGCTCTAATTCAAATGCCTGAGGCTAGCAGAGTCTCAAAATATGACTGAGAAAAGGTGTTCTTGCCACTCTGTGGCCTAGGGCCTCCTGAGTCTTGGGCTAATGCAGATCAGAAGCGGTGGCCACTTGTCCGCCTGCAGCTTCATAGAGCTAGAATCGGGGAGCTGTGGCGCCCCGCATCTCACAGTCCTGCTGGGTAACTGGGGCGCGGGGAGGGGGGGGGGTGAGGGGGAAGGGCGCTTCTCTGCCATCTCTCAAGATTTTAATGAATGAATGAATCAATCAATCACTGACTAGATGAATAGAAGGGGCCCCACCTAGAGAGATCTCACTGCAGTGTCACCCAAGTGAGAGCGGATGGTTGGCAGTGACACAAACTGGGGAGGGTGGGGAACGTCATGGTCAATGAAAACAACAGCTTCAAACCAAACCTGAGGGGAACAGAGGTAGCCAGAGGCTTGGTGGTCACGCCCGGGAGCCGACACGGAGCAGGACAGACACTGGGCTTGGGGCTGGCGGGCAGTCTGGGAAGGGGCTGTGGATGGGAGGGTGGGGGGAGAGGGCGCCAGGAGGCGGCCCACCCCACGTCTCACAAGAGTTCGTACTGCTTGAGGTGCATCCTCTGGATGATGTCGCGGCAGTCGTTGAAGACCCTGCGGATGTTCTCCGTGTCCACCGCGCAGGTGAAGTGCGGGTAGCAGTAGTGCTTGCCGTCCCCGGTCGCTGTGCTGATCCTCTGCAAAAACAGGGGTGTCTGTGCTGCGGGGCCTCCCGGCCACCTGCCCAGGGGCACATGGGACCGCAGCCCCGCCCCTCATGCTCAGAGAAGGACCTGGGCAACCCTTGGATCAAAGACTCAGGGCTGGGGGTGTCGTCTGACAGGGAACACAGCTGTAGGGAGTGTCCCACTGCTGAACACGCAGCTGGAAACCAAGGAACCTTGCCTTGCTCGGGCCACGGAAGCTTAGGATTCAGCTGGGGCAGGGCACACATGTAAAAGGCAGCCACTGGCTGGTTGGCTCAGTGGTCGTCAGCATTTGCAAACTGCAAAGAACACTCTAAGGGGGTAGGAAAACAGAGTTAATAACACTGCTTACCAAAAACAGATCCCTTATAAAGAACTTGGCTCTTGTAACTTTGGGATCTTCTCCCGCATCTGGTGTCGCTGTAGAAATTACAAGTGGAATTTTATTTAAATAATGTGAAACTGAACTACAACTCTATGAAAACTTAAAAGGAATGACAAAGTTGGACTGCGAGCCAGGCTGGTGTGGCTCTGTGGTTGAGCATCGACCCATGAACCAAGAGGTCACTAGTTCGATACCGGTCAGGGTTGTGGGCTAGATCCCCAGTATGGGGTGTGCAGGAGGCAGACGATCAGTGACGTTTCTCTTTCATTGATGTTTCTATCTCTCTGTTCCTCCCCCTTCCTCTCTCTCTAAAAACCAATAAAAACATATTAAAAAAACAAGAACAAAGTTGGACTACGATATAGCATTAAAAGACACGTATGGCAACCTGGCCAGCGTGCTAAATGGTTAGAGCATTGGCCTGTGCACCAAAGGGTCATGGGCTTGATTCTCAGTCAAGGGCATGTACCTGGGTTGCTGGTTTGCTCCCCAGCCTGGGTCAGGGTACATGTGGGAGGCAACTAATCGATGTGTCTCTCACACTGATCTCTCTCTCTTTCTCTGGTGGTAGGGGGATAACTTGCACTCAAATAAAATGACAGCATCTCACTGAACACTGGCCACGCCCGCAGCTGCCTTCACCGTCAGCGGTCTCTGGCGGAGAGAAGGCCCCGGTCTCCAGGGGCTGGCACCAGGCCTGTGGCTGCGGCTGCAGGGGTGGATCTGCTCAGCCAGGCCACATTCCCATTCCATCAGCCTTGTTCTTAGAAAGACCCCCTCCTACTGTTCCTACCACAGACTACAGCATCTGCAGCCCCAGTTAAAATCAGTGTGGCGCCCGGCCAGTGTGGCTCAGTGGTTGAGCATCGACCTATGAACCAGGAGGTCACAGGTTGATTCCCGGTTAGGGCACATGCGGGATTGTGGGGCTCGATCCCCAGTGTGGGGCGTGCAGGAGGCAGCTGACCAATGATTCTCAGTCAAGGGCATGTACCTGGGTTTAGTAGTTATACAAAATAATCTTACATGTTGTGGTCTGTACAGTGTAATAAACCAGAAATAAAACAAGAATATATGAGAGAAGACTGTTGCCCAAGCAGAGGGAAAGTCTAGAGAATCATTTTCAGACAGGACATGATGTTTCTCTCTCTCCCTATCCCTTCCTCTCAAAAAGATCAATGGAAAAAAAAATCAACATGGCACCCACTCTGATCTAGGCCCTTCCTAGCCTTTTCCCCATTCACATTCTGAGTTCATGGAACCAGCCGATAGCTCTGAGGCCCTGTGAAGTTCATTTTCCTAGACTCTAGGCTCCAAATCAGCGTGTTCTCATCACTGTCTTCCCTTCTCTGTTCCGGCCACTGTGGTCTGGGGCGCTCTGCAGGCGCTGAGTCACCCTGACCTGGAGGCCTGCCAGGCTTGGCCAGGGCGGTGCCAGGGCAGGCCCGGTGCAGAGGGGAGGGAGGAGTGGGCAGGGAGGAGCACCGTGTGACTGAGGTGGGGGGAGGAGCGCAGTATTGCTCAGGGGTGTGGGGAGGCGCAGCTCTATTTCCTGGACAGGTCAGGACTGGCCTCAGTTTGTGGGAGATTAAGCCAATGTTGATAGGGATCTTACGCATGTTTGTGACGTGTTTCAGAAGTCCAAAGAGTTTTCTGGAAAGTCGAGTGACCAGAATCAGGGAGCCTGGGAGAGGAGCTGCACTGGCCAGATCCATAGCTGAGATGAGGGTCAGGGCCAGGGCCCAAAGGAGGGAAAAGGAAGCGTGTGTCGTCCTGGATGGACAGTGAAGCAAGCTCCACAGTGCTGACTGGATGGGTCAGGGAAGGGGGGGCTGGGGACTGGGGAAGTTAAGGCAGAGTCAGTTGTCAGGAGACAGGAAATCAGCAACAGAGAGGGCAGCGCCAGGCGTGCTCTGAACACCCCCTGGGCGGGGGTTAGCCACCTGAGCCCTGGGCAGCACACCCCTGGGCTGGCTGAGGTCCGTGCAAAGAGGCTGATGAATTTTCCCACCTTCTTAGCTGGAGTTGCTAGGAAAGTCCTTTTCATTCTGCTTGATCCAGTTTGGGATTCAAACGTAAGAAGTGGTGTGATTCTGCTGTAAACAAACCTGTCCTCTGAGACGCTGGTGGCCCAGGGTCTGCTCAGAACTGCAGAGCAGCAGCTGGAAACAGCTCTGCCGGGCAGGGCCTCCTGCCTTCGCACTGGAGTCCCGTTCCCAGGACCACCCTAATGCGAATCACCAATGTCATAGCCAAAGTCACCCCTCAGACAAGAGACGTAAACACGGGGCGGAAAGCCCGGGCTCCGGAGAAAGGCCCTCACAGGCTCCACCTGAGTGACCTTGAAAAGTGGCTTTACCTCTTTCAGCCTCACTTCCCACAAGAAAACAAACAACGAAAACTCCCACACAGGGCTACTGGGAGGGTTCAGGGTGCAGGTCAATGTAAAGGGCTGACTGAGGCCCAGGTGAGGCACAACTTACCCCAACGGATGACAGCTTCACCCCCAAACTGTCCTCTCTCCAAAGGCACAGTTCAGGTGGAAAGTCCAACTGCAATTTTTACAAACGGAAGCCTACCCGGACGTCTGAGGCCGCTCCTACCTTAGGGAGGGGCAGTCGTCAAGAGGAGTGATTTTAATTAACTGAGTGTCCTAGAGCCATCAGAACTGTTGGAACTATAGTTATTGGGCTGCTGAACAATGAAGTCTTTTCCTTAATCGGGGGAACCTTGTTTTGAAGCCTTACCATCCTCAGGAACAGTGTAATTTGCATACTCTGGGAAATAATCCTCAATTTTTGACTTCCCTGCCAAGACTTTCTCTGCCAGCATATCTTGTTTGTTCAAGAACAAGATGATAGAAATGGTCCGCAACCACCTGAAAAGGAGAAATAAATACACGCATTGTACATCCACTCTATGGGAAAGAACGGCGAGCGCAGGAGGAACTCAGTGACGAGGAGAGCACTGCCGCCTTCCTGGCGGGATCGGCCTTAGCATTGCCCCACAGGCCGATATCTCCATCCCGCACTCGGTCGCCAAGAAAGACATTCTTAAAATGGTAACCAAATATGGCAGCCGACTCAGCAGTTTTAGCGCCTTCTACCTTATCTTCCCTGGGGACATACACGTACTGGTACCAAAGCTAAGGATTACTTATGTAAGAAATACACTTGGATTATTTATGGTGGGTGTAACTTACTAAGAAACTGTCAGAAAACTGGAAGTTACAGCGTTGTTAATAAGATGCAGGACTCCTGAGCTAATCGCACAGAACATAGTTGCGGCTGGCTTGGTTTTCGCTGCCACCTCTGAGCAGGTCTGAGTTCTCCAGACTGGGCAGAATGTTCATCAGATCTAGATCTAGATCCCGGCGCTGGACAGGCCAGGCTGGGGGTGGGGTGGGGGGCTCAGGCACCGTGGAGGTGCAGGCGGGAAAGTTCCCTGTCTCATTTTGATAGACGCTGGAAACTGGCTTAACAGGAGTTCAGTGTGCACATCAGCAAAGCCTTTAGCAAGTCCATTCCTTCGAAGGAATCAAGCTGATGGGTAGCACACAGGAATCTTACCAGGAATTAGAAACAAAACCCATTCTTCTCCCACATGGAAATAGCCTTAAGGTTTCTTCTGGTTACAAAATGCACAGCCCTTGCCCTGGCTGGTGTGGTTCAGCTGGTTGGACGATTCTATTCCTGGGCAGGGCACACGCCTAGGTTACGGGTTTGATTCCCAGTTGGGGTGCGTGCGAGAGGCAACTGAGGTGTTTCTCTCTTCTCTCTCTCTCTCTCTCTCTCTCTCTCTCTCTCTCTCTTCCTCTCTCTAAAATAAAAAAATATCCTCGGGTGAGGATTAAAAAAGTACATAGTCCTTGCAAAAATGAATTAATTATAGAAAAATTAGTAGATAGGAAAAAAAAAATGTAACTACACCCAGAGACAACTATTAGAATGTTTATGTTTTGACTTTTCATTTTTTTTCTATCCTCACGCATATTTATCATGTTTATAAAAATAAGTTCAAGGTGTTTTTAAATCTGCCTTTTCATTTAACAACGTTGTGGTCATTTTCCCATGTGACTGTGTGTGTGTGTCTATATCTATAATTATACCTATTTTAATGACTCCAACATTTCTGTGTATACCCAGTATTTCTTGACTCGTTCTTTCCCACTGTCTTAATAGTATAAAAATAAGAACAGCCGTTGAGCACTTTACTAGAGAAATATTGGCCTGATAACCTATTGGCCTTTTGCAGGGACCGCGTATGTTCCTGACCTCCATGGTGCGATTTCTCCCCAAATATTTCCGAAGACACTGATTTTTAACTCCATGTGCAGTGTCCGGTGTGTGTGTGCCGTTCGCTCCTGTGCAGTAGTAGCACTTTCAGACAAGATTGTGCTTTTGAACTGTAACTGATCGTAGGGGTCACCTAGCTATATGTGGGTGCTTAAAACTGGCACTTTCTAGATTCTGAAAACCAAACCAAACCAAACCAATCCAATTTTGTACCCTAGATAATAATCTTAGGCTCTCAAAACAGAGATTCAAATTTTCTTCACACCCCTGGCTGGTTACTCAGTGGTTAAGCGTCGGCCCTTGCACCTAAGGGTTGTGGGTTTGATTCCCCATCAAGGGCACGTACCTGGGTTGCAGGTGTGATCCCCCGCCCCGGCAACCAATTGATCTCTCTCTCTCTCTCTCCCTTCCTCCCTCCCTCCTTCCACTCTCTCTAAAAATCAATGGGGAAAAAATGTCCTTAAGTGAGGAATAATGAATTTTCTTCACAAAGCACTAGCAGAGCTCCATCGAGGAACGGTCCATGTTAAGTACGTCTGTATGTGAGATGGACTAAAAAGCTGCTTCTTGCAGTTTTTGGATTTACCGGTAAGGAACGAATGGCTATGTCTGGAGAACAATAATAAAAGTGAGCTGAGTGATGCTTTCAATGAAAGAGAATTTTCCATCCAGGGGTGAGACTGAACTTATTATTTTTATAACCTGTTGTTCCAGATGCTTTCGAAAAGGTCCAGGGACTCTCTCAGCCTGTTGGTGTTGTTATCTTCCCGAATCACCATGTTGTAGCTACTGCAGGCTGCCACGTAGATGATGGCGGTGACGTCTGAGGGGAGAAGAGAGGAAGTTAGACAGATGTCACTGGGGGTGATGACAAAGCACACATCCAACTGCTACCATTTGCAGGGTGACTGTCATTCCCTGACCGTGAGAAAGACTTGACCAGCGCTGTGTGTGCAACTGGTCCTTCAGCCACGTGCCCGGACAGGAGTCCACCCATATTAGCAAATGGCAAATGGGAGCTGGGGATACTTAAATTCCTTACTTATGGGAATCATATTTAAGGCATTTTATAGATGATCGCATGCAAAGCTACTTAAACATAGTGGCAGGAGTGAGGGGAGAATTCATCCCCTTTTCTGGAGGGTGCATAGAAATCACCGTTAAAGCACTGGATCCATTTTCTTCTCTCGTCCCTCTGGCCACCGACATCAAACATGCTGTGGAAGGAGAAGAGGACGATAATTACTTGGGGTGTGAGGACGCACCCTGTACTCTGTGCTCTTCTTCACGCTGCCCGCCTGCAGCACAGCCTGTGCGACCTCGGCCTGTGCGACCTCGGCCTGCGCGGCCTTGGCAGGCTGCTCGGGCAGCCCCGGGTCTGCACCAGGGAGCCAGCCTGGGCGTCCACAGCCAGTCGTTTTTGGGGTCACAGAGCTGGCCCTGTGGTCATGGGGTGGCTTGGGCTCCTCTTCTCAGGGCGGCCTGTGCGGTGCATCCCTCTGCCCGCGTTTCTGGCAGCAGTTTCTCTCCACCTGCCCCACCAATGCCTGGGGTCTTTCTCACCTTCGCGGGCCTCTCCAGTCTTGGATTCCTCCCTTCCCTACACTCACTGCATGCACTTCAGCACCACACAGTCACATGTACTTATCCAGGAGGATGGCAATCCCTTTGGCACTCTGCTGGGTCTCCCGGCCCGTGCCCAGTAGGCCCCAGGCGGCAGCAGGGAGGGCTTCCTGCCCACAGCCCCACACAGGCTGCTCCCAACAACACACTTACTGAAAGTTCACTTTGTCCACTTGGAATCGGGTCTCAAAAATCCCTGATGTCAGAACTCTGCATCTGAGAAGGTCCTGGAGCAGGAAGAGAGAAACAGACCAAGTGACACCCTTGCTCTCCTTCGGAAGGGAGGCCCGGGATGCAAGCATCACGGAGCTTTTCAAACAGCGGTTTCTTCCATTGTAAGAGCAACAGCAGTGCAGTCCTTAAAGCGCAGACAGAGGTGCTCTGTCTCCCTCCCCGACCCCCACCCCCGAGAAAGTCACAGTTAATGCATCCGTTTGGTCTTAGAGACTGGATAGCTGTGCTTTTATTTTTTTCAGGATTTTTATTTTTAATCACCGATGAGTGTAGCCACTGTTGTGCTCCTGACAACCACACCCCCCTCCCTTAAGGTTGTGGGCGAGATGCCGCCTGCACTCTCCCGATATAACTGATATAACCAACCGAGAGCCAGCTGTTCTGGGTTTAGAGCCATTTGGGCGAGAAAGCAAAGGAAGTGCAACTGCACTCACAGATCATGGATGCTTTGGACTGGGTGCGAATAGAGTTAAGATTTCCTCTCTTCCCCGCACACTTCTCTGCTAAGATGAAAGATGACTGTGGCCGGGAGGGGATGAGCGAGCCATAATTTTATAAGCTGACATCTCTTGTACGCTTGCCAGATGTCAGGGTATTTTTTCTGATCACAAATCCATTGTGGTGTTCATGAGGCAGACACTGCAATCTCTCTGGAAGCTGGGAGGTGGTCCTCCCCTCTCAGCCTGAAGAGAGGAGCCTCATGGGGATGCATGACTCAAGGCTGGGAAGGCTCCGTGGCTCTGCCAGGTAACTGTGTGCTCGCTCAGAGTCCGCCCCCGAGACAGGTGGGCTTGAGGGATGGAGAGGAGCTCAGACCTCCAGGACATGCAGCGCAGAGAAGAGAGAGCCTCCCTGAGATCCCAGGGCAAGGCCCTCCGGGGGTCGGGGGATGGGGGACGCAGACAGGGGAGTGCTGTAGAGGCAGTCTGAACGGAGCCCCCTAACTTCTTTGGAGCTCACTGAGCTCTAGAGGCGTCCAGAGGGCGCTTAAGCTGAACAATTCATGGTTCTCCAAGTCTCTACAGATGCCTGAGGGTCAAAGGTTTGGGGGCCACGGAAGGTCCCTCTCTGCTACTTGCAAAGGGGTAATTTTCCTGGCTAACCCCCTGGAGAGTGTGCTGTGGTTTGTGACTCAGACCAGGGCCAGAAGCAAGATGGGCAGAGTTTATGAAGTGAGGGAGGCAAAGGTTTGGTTTTCTGTGGAGAGCTCCAAGAGGAATGGGAATTGCTTAGTCCTATTCCACAGATAACATTATTTTGATATTGGAAATGTAGAAATTTAGTACATTTCAGAGAGCTAAGTCTATGGGCCATTAACAGGGCATAGCAAACATACCACCTGTACATGCAGGGACAACATCATTTGCAAGAAGTAGTTATTTGAAGAAAATTTTCCTTAATCCATTTAAAGACAATCACTGACTAATACTGACAATTTCTTTGACCTCACGAGGTTCCAACAGGTGGCTCAGCTCTGAGTTCACGTACCTGGTCTGTGGGGGTGTAGTCCACCAGGCTGACGCTGTCGATTCTCTCCAGGAAGCTGAAACGAGAGCCAGCAGTGCTCAGAAAGTCCTCAGATTCCCTTCTCCTGGTCGTGGGTGATACGGACAGCCGCACCAGCACAGGACAGGGCAGCAGGAGCCGAGGGAAGCTCCCATTTCCCTTCCTGCATGTGTGTCTGCCCAAGTAGCGGAACAGTCCTGGTTGACGTAGTCATGCTACCATAACTCCCTTCTTCTACCTTCTTCCCTCTGCCTTCCCTCTTCCCTCTTGTCCAGTGTTGTAGGGTGGGGGGTGAGGGACCACTCAGAAATTGGGAGGGGCACAGACTTCCTTCCAAGGCTAAGCTAGTAGAGGAAGGCCATGGTGGGATGTAAATACAAAATGGGAAGTGAGAGATGTTCCTTTAGCGTAGTAAGTTCCTGATAAGGTCTGAAACCTTAGGGGTGCATGTGTGTCTGTGTGTGTGTGTGTCTCTGTGTGTGTCTGTGTGTGTGTGCATGCGTGCAGGTTTAATCTGGGGGCACACCTGGCGGAAGCTATAAGATTGGTCCCAGAGGTCTGGTATGAGACACAATGGGAGGCAGGGAGGAGTAAGTGGCAGGAAAGGAGATCACACTGCACCTGGAGGTGGTAGAGGACAGGTGCTCGTCCTCCACTGCACCGCCCGCTCACCCGGCAGAGGCACCCTGCGCATCTTGTCTAAAACAGCACCCTTGTCCACCTCCATGCCAACCTGGCTTTATTTTTCTACAAAGTGCTTAGCACGACCTGACATGTTTTACATTCATTTGTTTATTATCTGTTTCTTCCTACAAAATGCAAGCTGCCCAGAACAGGTCTTTGTCTGGCTGGCCCAGATGTCCCCCGGCACCTCCTAAGACCTGACCCCTGATTACTTGTCTGATGAGTGACATTTGCTCCCCCCTCCTCCTGGAGCTGGAAGAGGTAAGCGAGCAGGTGGCTGAGAGGCCCAGCCCCAAAGGACACGGATGGTCAAGACCCAGGAGCTGGTGTGGACTGGTAGCTGGTGGTCAGAGGGCACCTGGGGAAAGAGAGGGCTTCAGAAGGGCAGGGGAGCGTGAGGAGAAGGAGTGGGCTCAGCGGCCCAGGTTTCTCCTGGCCGTGGGTGCCCCCGTGGCCAGGGTGAGGCTCCTACACTGAGGACAGTATATGTGACGTAGACAGGGACAGGGTCGAGCTCCCCTGCCTGTCCAACACTGGAAGGTTTGGGCACCATCACTGGGTCTATGAAGTAAAGCGAAGATCGGGCCTTCTCCTAAGCCCTTGTATTTGGGGCATTCTGCATAGCACAGAGGTGCTATCTCCCATTTCTACTCGATGCCCCACCAGCACCCCACCAGCCTGCACTGCAGGTCTTAAGATGCTTTCAGCACGGGCAAGAGGGAGGCCATGGACACAGCAAGACCACTTAACTGTCGTGGCCACCTTCACTCCTCGCTAAGGATAGTCCCAGTGTCCTGCTGCGGGGATGGCATGTTGGTGCCCCTCCATCCATGCGCCCTTGATTTGGCACAAGGCCCGGCTGCTCCAGGACCAAGACCTACCTCAGAGCTGCAACAAGAGGCAACCAACTCTGCAGGCAGGGGAACCACCAGCAGGATGTGGCGAGGGGCTAGGGTGGATCTGCTGGTGTTAGAGATATCCGTTCAGAGACAAAAGGCGGTGAGGGCAGTGTCCCAAGTGAGGCCATTTCAGCTGGAAGCCAGGGCCAGGCCCACGCAAGGGGAAGCAGCTGTGGGGGGAGGTGCCTGTGACTGCACTGCCTGCTGCGGGAGGAGGTGGCAGTGCCACTGAGAGGCCAGAGGGACCCTGATCTGCCTGTGGCCCCCCTGGGAGGTGCTGCTCCACGCATACCAGGGGTAGGTGAATCGGCCTGGCGTGCAGGGCTGGTGCCTGAGATGGAGCAGTTTGGACAGAGTACAAACAACTGGGGAAATGCCACAGGAGGGGACCGCCTGGGAGCTGGGGAAACAGGAAGGCCCCAGGTTTGAAAACCACAATGCAGTTTGGATAAGTGCATGCTGGCCTTGAATTTGGTGAAGTATGCACTGAGTGCCTGACGTCTAGCAGGAAAGGAGCCAAAAGATTCTGTGATGGAGGAAGAGGTTTCTGCCCCTGCAAAGGGAGCTCTGGACTGAAGCCCAGACCTCCAGGAGGGTCTTGGATGGGGACTGAGCTGCTCCCTGCCCCCAACCCCAACCCATGGGCTACAATAACTTGATGCAGAAAGGATCTGTTCTCCTGGCTGGAGATGGATAATCTGACACGTGACACAGAAACCAATAGTCTCTGATTAAAAGGGCTGGAAGGAACAAAAAATTAAACGAAACATGAAGCCTTTGGTTATAGAGTTTAGGAAGTAACCAATTTCTATCAGGATGCAGAGGGGGTGGAGGGAGGTGGGTGACTCGATTAATATGTTAAGTAGTTTAAGTAGAAACAATGGAATATGGCTAAAAAAGTACATGAAAAGGTTCTGATGGGTGGGGGAGTACCTTCCTGAATGCGGCTAAAAATACATGGTTCTGAGATGTCGATGACACAGGCAAAGATGTCAAGTTCTTTTCCCATCCTCAGACTCCAGGTTGGGTATTCGAGTTTTTTCCAGCTCTGATGCTTAACCATCTAAGGGAGCACTGCGAAGCATCAATGAACATTTCCAAGAGCATCTCCTGAATTGTTACTGGTGCTGACTGGTGTTCTGAGTGCATAGGTTTCAAGTTTGTGCAATAAAATAAAAAGTGAAAATTCCCCCGGCATGTGAATGCATCCCCCAGTTCTCTGAGGAATAAAGGAATAAAATAAGAATCTATCAATTTCTGCCACATTTTGCCTAGGTCTTTGGTTCAACCCACATATTTCTCAGCATGTTGTAGAAGTACTTCAAATCAGGGCTCCTAAGATAATACAGGGCGTCCCCCAAAATGCATACACACACTCTGAATAATAAAAAGGCAGTGTTTATTAAAATACACTTCATTTTCAAAATTGAGCTATCAGCTGTGAAAGTGTGTATGCACTTCTGTGTGGCACCCTGTAAATAGAGATGAGTTTTAAGGGTCTTACTAATCATACACAGAATTTCGCATGGCTACATTTTAAAGCTTACACTGTCTTCTTAAATATGCCACCAGATGAAAGAATCCCCCTTATAGACCATCCATTCACACTAGAGACATAGTTGTAAGGCAATACCGAATTACAACTGTAAAACATCACCCTCATATGGGCACTATAAAAAAGTAGTTAGCCCCAGCTGGTTTGGCTCAGTGGATAGAGCATCGGTCTGCAGACTGAAGGGTCCCAGGTTCGGTTCCCAAGGGCACATGCCAGGGTTGCGGGCTCAATCCCCCCCAGTAGGGGGCATGCAGGAGGCAGTCGGTCAACGATTCTCTCTCATCATTGATGTTTCTGTATATCCCTCTCCCTTCCTCTCTGAAATCAATAAAAATATATTTTAAAAAAGTAGTTAAAAAGCATTTTATTTAGATTTTCTTCCATTTTCTGCTACAGCTGAGGATATTTATGTTTGGAGAAGCGTTTTTATTCTCATCATTTAGATCTTCTTTCTGTTTGATATTGGTTCAAAATAGCAATTCATTGTTTATTTCTCATCTATTTCTGCTCCTCTTCTAAAGTAACTTAAAAGTCACAGAGTTCTTACGTCCATGGAATTGATCATGAAAAGGGATAAGGAAGGGATCATGAAGAGATGATTTATTTAAAAATCATTTACTTTTAACATATACATTTATTTAAATATATTTAATATCATCTCTGTGAAAAATTTACCAAGTTGGAACTCTGTCAAGGTAAGTAAAAACCTTTTCTCAGTGTTATTGAAATTGATTTCAAGATACTTATTTTCATGATATAAAAATACTATGGAGTGACAAAGAGCAGCAGGGTTAAGATCCACGCTGCTTATATAACCACGCAGAAACCCTATTTTGTTTAATCTGACCTTTTCTCCTTTTTCCCACCCCTTTTGATTAAAACTGGCCTCATCCAAAACTCTGACTTAGCCACCTTCCTCTCCCTTGAACAAGCCCCCTGCCTCCCCCTTAATCACTGAGCCCTCAGAACAAGGCTCTGGTTGGCATCAAACACAATGGAACATCCCACTGACTAAACCCTGGGGAAACCAACTAGAATGATGCCATGGCTGACATCAGGACCAGATGCAATGACCAATTGCCCACTACCCTAGCAGCAGCCAACTGAGCTTCGGACCACATCAGGTCCAGCAATCATGACCAAGAGAAACACTGTCTGTTCTGTGCCATATGGTTGTAGAAAAACCATCCAGCTGTAGAAACATGAACCTAGGTAAACCAGGCAGGCATTTTATTAATGCCAGTCAGTTGATTAAAAAAATGAAAGGGGCTTGCCCATCAGTTTGTTCAATGCCAAATGGCTAGTGGCTTTTTGTCAAAAGTACTCAAAGTCTTGAGTTTTGGATTTTGGCTACAGAAATGCCTCCAAGAGGGTATTGTGCATATTGCAAAGGAAGAATCTAGAACAGAAAGTCCCTCGCTTCTGCTTCACAATGTGAGATTGTCTGGCTGACCCTGAGACTATGTTCAGTTAATAAGGCTTAGACTGGTACTTATTTTAGGTGTCTCTTTTCCAAATCAAAGACAGCTGGGTAGGTACACAGTGTCCAACAGTCACAGCATGCCTCTATCTAAAAGGTACACACATGCATTAAAATTCCTTCAAGAAGAAATAGCTTTAGTAAGCAAGTTCTCCAATAGTGCACCTGTAATTGAACTGAAATAATCTAAATTGTTCATAAATAAATGAAAAGTATATTCTAAATCCATGTTAGAAACTGTACATTGAAGGCAGAAAAGTAAAAAGGAGGAATAACGAGTAAAAACTATTAGTAGTTGCATGGGAGATTAACTATTTCCTTGGTATGTTTGAGTTGGATCCTTTTGAAAATTCTATCTGTTGCCTGGAAAAGTTTCAATGTGAGGGAGAATCTTTAATAAACTATCACAATAAAGAAGT